CTATATCCCATTAATCTTTCTTAATAAACTATTAAAACTATAAGCATTTAAATCTTTACATATGTAGGTCTCGGAATGAAAATATTTTAAATTTTACATACCCCTGCGAGAAAATTTTTCATTCTTTGTTTTTCAGCACCTCGATATCCATTTTTCATAAGCTTTTATCCATTAAAACCTCTTAATCATTGCAAATCCGTTTTAAACCACCCCTATATTCTTTTAAATAAATCCAATGATATGCATGATATCCCGACTACCTATATCAACCTTAGTCGTTTGATAGATTTCCAACTGGTGCACTAAAGAATGCTATGCCTCAAAATTGAAAAAATTTTTCAAATTTTAAATAAACAATTGAAAATCATTAATCCACCGATTTTGCGTCGCCGGTTACAATGACATTTGTTTTTTTTTATGCATTTTTTTATGCATTTGTGCCATAATGTCAAATAAATTATTATTTTATAAATCTTGTTGTCCTCTTTATAAATCTTGATTTTGGCGGATACCCGCACCTCACAGGATTTAGGATTAGGATTTCGGAGTTAGGATTTTCGTCTTGCAAAGTTAAACGTTATCGGCTATTCTAACCAGTAAAATTTGTTTGTCCAATGGATGTGATGAGCTTCCTAAACTGATTACTCTCATTATAAATGTAAGGAAGATAAGGATCCAGCATTTAAAAAGCTTAGACGGGGGTTTAAGCTCTATTAAAAGAGAAGGTGAATATGATTTAATGCAAAAATAAAGCTGGTATTACCGCGGCTGCGCCATAATTCTCAAGCTTTCTCTAGATTATACAGTTGGTAGAGCACCTGTACATACGTGGTGTGCGAAAGCGCCTATCAATAACTGCCAATAGGTCGCATGATCGAAGCCTGCCCGGGATTAAACTTTCACCTCTCTCTTACCTAAATTACTATTAATAGCTCCAAAGATGTGTTTTATAGTTTGTTTTTTTGAAAAATAAAATAAACGCCTTTATTTCAATGGCCCTTACAGTTAAATGAATTTTTCGGGGTAGTGAAAAATAGTAATCTCAACACAAAAACTTGACCTCGTCTCAAGACATAAAAACTCCAAAAAAAGTTTCAGTCAAGACTTGAGACCAAGCGTCTTGGAAGTCTTGTACAGCCCAAGTAGGTGCGCGGCCAGGTGGGCGCAAGGCCATAACCTGCTTCAAGATTTTCGAATCTTTCAGAGTTTAGTATTAAACGACTCCACTTATCGAGCTAAAGAGATTGGTACCAAAATTGTTAAGGGCTAGAAATTTTCTAGCAAGTTATGGCTTTGCGCCTACTTGGGCGCGCCTCCGTGTCCCTCTAAAAATAATATGGAGGCCGTTCAATTAGAACAAATAAAGTAATATTAACATTTAACTATTTTATTTCAACATAGATTAACATATATTTAATAATTTAATTAATTAATATCTTTTCTTAATTAATATCTTTTCTTAATTAACATTTTTTCTTAAATTCAAATTATATCCCATCCTATAAGTATTAGCACACCACAATTGAATCTAAAAGAAAAAAATATTAAATTAACGCTGGTTGAATATTTGAAGATTTTTTGTATGGTTATTTCAAAGCAAAATGAATAAACTGCTCTCTCCCTTCTTTTAGTTTAAAATTTTCAGAAATCCGCTTTAATTCGAATTTTTTATAATTGTGTTTATTTGCATATTATAGAAAGCTAAGATTTTGGTTAGCTAAAAATGATAAATCCTAACTATAACCGGTAATTTAAAATTTTGTTTACCTCGTATTTCAGCCTTAACAGGAAGGCCAGGGAGGACTACCAGGACAGGAATTACCACTACAAGGACAACAACCACCATTATCAACACAATTCCCAGCAGGATTTAAACAACGCAATTCACCAGCTGGAGTACAACAACAATTATCAGACGCTGCAATTGTATTAAACTTTATTATTAAAATAAAGCATATAATAGTAAATAAATAGAGGAATTTAGTTAGAGACATTTTCAAATATATTTAATTTAGTAAATTTTATTTATTGATAGAATAATTGAAAACCAACCCCATTTTATATTCAAGAAAATAGTTCAATTAATTTATTACACGTATTGTGTTTTTACAAAATTTTATTTTATTACCACCAAAAATGTTGCTACATCCCAACAAAAATAGTTTGGTGTACACCCCACCCAAAATATCAACAAAACAGGGAAGAATTTTTATGAGGAAAAAAAGTAGGCGACCAACAGTGAAAGGAACTTTATAATCATTTTTTGATAAAATTTATTTGTGACGGTCGGGAGTTTAAAAAAGTCGAGAGTCGAGACCAAGAAGCAACCCCGAGACTCAGATCGACTCGAGAATAGAGACTGTGAGTCGAGAGATTAAGAGGGAAAAAAACCCCGAGAAATTTCCCGACTCAAGAGTAGAAACCGAAAGTCTCGAATAATTCTCGAATAAGAGTCGAGACCGAGACCGAGAAGCAATCCCGAGAGTCGAGACTAGGACCGAACCCGAGAGTCTAGACCGAGAGTCGAGAGATTAATAGGGAAAAAACCCGAGAAATTTCCCGACTCGAGAGTCTCGACCATCACTAAGATTTATCATAATTATTTTATAAGCTTCTATTGAAGAGATTGGGTGTTTATTTTTAGATCCAAAATCGTTTCCATCAGCACAGCAGGCGAAAATTTTGAGAATTTTGGAAGGCCAAAGTAGCTTCTAATAGCTTCAAAAATATTTTTTTCTGTATAATTTTAATAATTATTTTATTTATTTTTTTATTCTTTCTATTTTTATTTTTCCTCTCCCAAATGTTGATCTGATGGGTGTTAACGAAATTTGATTTTTTTCATTAAAAAAGATCGCTCTAATGTTAAGGAAATTTTTTTTATTTTAGAAAATTTTGTTTATGTATAAATTAAGCTTCGTGGAAATTTTTATTTTTTTATTCAAAAAAAAATAAAATTTTCCACGAAGCTTAATATACACATAAACAAAAATTTTCTAAAATAAAAAAATTTTCTTTAAATTTTTTTGGTTAGTTTTCTAGTTGTGGATGATATCATCCACAACAAGTACAAATTTTTCCTTAATATGTTCCTCTTCTTTTTTTTTTAGTTAAAAAAATATTTTTCAAATAATATTGGTAAAATATTTTTATTTCTCTATATTTTATTTTTTAAATTTATTTTTGAAAGAAAAAATTATTAAAAAATTAATTTTGTATTTATTAAAAGGGTACAATTAGGCGCACGGCCATAACGGCGCAAAGCCATAACTTGCTTCAAGATTTCCGAATCTTGTCAAATTTGGTATTAAACGATTCCTCTCATCGAGCTGAAGAGATTGGTACCAAAATTGATAAGGACCAGAAATTTTCCAGCTAGTTATGGCTTTGCGCCGTTATGGCCGCGCGCCTAATTGGGCGTGTCCGTTAGTAATATTATTTGGAAATTTCTATTTATTCCATATTCGTTTTTAAACTATAAACAAAACTTTTGTTTATAGTTTAGTTTAATTTAAAAATTTAAAAAAAATTTGCCAAGAATTTCTAAATAAAATGAAACGTGAAGACATCCAAGGACTTCGCACAGTGGCCGTTTTAGCTGTAATTTTATTCCATATTTGGCCTCAGCGCTTTCCAAGTGGTTTTTTGGGTGTTGATGTGTATGTTTATATATTTTATTAAAGATTGCTCTTATAAATCTATAACCATAACTGCTGTGCGGTAACAAGCTATTTTCCAATCTCCTCGCCCATTTTCCAATCTTCGGTTCGACCGGTTCTCGGCCTCGGAGCCTCAGTCTCGATCTCGCCAAAAACGTCGCTGAGGAACGAGGCTAAATATACACCCTCAAGAATGGACTTTTTTGGATGAAATGTAAGAATTTTTGCTTATATGTAGTCCTTCCAAGAATCTCAAAATTTTCGCCTGCGGCGCAAAAAAGGATGAAAAACCTCGAGGTCGAGGTTCGAAAATAGGCGAGGACGTACCAGATGATTGAAATTATTTGACCAAGAATATGAGTTGTCTGATCTATCCCTCGACCTCGAACCTCGCCCCTCGACCTCGAACCTCTATCCCTCGAGCTCGAACCCTCGACCTCGAACCTCGCTTTTTCAGTCTCGGCGATTCACGGTCTCGGTTTTCGAAAAACCTCGACCTCGCGCAACCCTAGTATAAATTAACAAGAAAATTTATAATTTCTATTAAAGATTCTTTGTCATCTCCGGCCATTTAATAGCTAAATGTTTAAATAATGTTGCAAATGAAGATAAGGTTGGAGCAAAAATTTTAGTGTTCTATAGAAGGAGAATTCAAAGAATTGTGCCCATATATTTGTTTGTTTGTTTTCTAACAACTAGGTAATTTAAAAATAAAAAAAATTCTTCACAGAAAATTTTATTTTTAAAAAAGCATTACTCGTTTAATCATGACTGAAACAGACTTTAAACGAATAAGATACGATATTTACTGGAGTCTTGGTTTTTTAATGAATATTAGACTTATGCTTAACCAAGTTTCAGACTACTTTGTTATGGTAATATTTTTAATATTAATTTTTTTGTTTCCTCTTGATTAGGTTTCAACACGGTTTTCCGGAACGCGCCGGGGACGGTGTTGAAGCGGGTACGGTAGGTAGCCGGGGACGGTGGGAGGCCACCCCCCCCCCCCCCCGCCGGAATCACCGCAGCCCTCGTCCACGTCATTCATCTCCGCGGGGAACGGTGAAAAAATTACACTGTATTGCGCCCTATTTTACGACTTTTTTCCTAAATTTATGATTTTGGCTGTACTTTAGTACGTGGGTGCAGGCTTTAAATTACAAATGTTATATCATTTGAAAAACTCCGGTATACTAAACTACAGCCGAATTATCTTTAATTCCTAGTATTTTCTTTTAAAAGGACCGGTGGTTGGGTGTTTATGGTGCCCCCCCCCCCCAATTAACGTTTAACCGGGTTTTAGAAACCCGAATACCGTAACGGTAAAGAGAAAATTCACGGTTTACTGGGTTTTAATAAAAAAAGGCGATATAGTAGCAAGCCATCCAAAAAGTGGGAGTAAAATCGATCGCATTCGACTGTAAATATAATCAAAATTTCATTTCTTTCAAGATTTTTCATTACTTACCACTATTGCACACATGGTCCCTAGGTGTTGAAATGCAATTTTATTTTATGGCACCAGCCTTGCTGTTAATTATCAACTACTTTTACAACCTTCCCTTTAATATTTTAAAAATGAAATATTTTAAAAAATATATATTATGTATATTTTTATTATTTTCATCCTTTATCTTCCAACAAATAATTTATTTAAAATATGGTGTGAGCAAAAGTTATGGGTTTGTGTTTTGCCGTTTATGGCAGTTTATGGCCGGTATTATTAGCCATTTTTTGAGAGAATATAATAATTATTTTGATGAAGAAAAGAATGGATTTATTGTTAATGGGATAGCAGGTAGTTCTAATTTTTTAAAAGTATATGTAGTTATGGGTCTACAACTGTAATAAGCCCGAAACGGTTATAGGCACACCAAAAAAATAACAGGGTTGTGCCGGTTTTAGTAATTTTGTTCGGAATCATCTAATCAATCTGATTTTGTTGCTCAGCTTGATGAGTTCTTTTGAACGGTTTTGGAATGAATTTTCGGAATGTTGGCCCATTTTCGGACAGGTAGGATATCAAATGGATACTTGCCGAGTCTTAAATCCCAGTCTATATGAAATTTTAAAAAATAATTTAAGACAATAAATTAAACAAATCAAAGAATCCTATTATTTCAAAAAATACTAAAATGACATCAAAAAATAATATACATAATATCAATTATTTTATTAATTTTATATTTAAATATACAACTACAAACTTTATTTTAATTACTTTATTTATTCTTTTATTTTGTCGAAAATCATCGAGAGACCTTTTATTACTTCCTCAGCCTTATATAAATGTTCTCATTGTTTGCTTAACTTTTATAATTTTGCTTGCAAAGCAGCCTTTTTATACCAAACATTTTATTTTAACAAATTCATTGTCTGTTTGGTTGGGTGATATTTCTTATGTTTGGTATTTGATACATTGGCCCACAATTGTTTTTGTTAAATATTTGGTTTTGTTAGATTATTTTTCGTTTACATGTGAGTAAACAATTTTTATTATCTCTAGTTTAATCCGATTAATGGTGTATTAGATACAGTTGAATCTCGACTATTCGATCAGTTGAAATGGTGCCAAGTTTGTGTCGCAAACCCAATTTATAGCTTATCTTGCTCTCATTTTAAGAGGTTGAACATCTTCCAACCTCATATAAGAGGTTGAACAGCCTTTTTATACCAAACATTTTATTTTAACAAATTAATTGTCTGTTTGGTTGGGTTCCAAGTGATTCTTTGAGATTATGGGGGAGCGTGCACTCTTGTTAATCATTTTTATAACTTGTTAGACCAACTCTTAAGCAGGGTTAGCGACCCAGTCTTGTCATCAGCGGGCCCGGATTGTGATTCTTACCAGGACAGAATACTTTTGACCTTTCTCCTCTGTCTACATTCTAGTGATGTTCGAGAGTCTCGGTCTCGACTCTCGAGTCGAGAAATTTCTCGGTTTTTTTGAGCTCTCGGTCTCGGTCTCGGTGTTTTACTCTCGGAAAACGAGACTAAAATTACACCCCTAATGACGGAAATTTTTAGGATTTTATATTTGTACTTATATAATACACAACGGACCAAAATCTTTTTACCATTTTGAAATTTTCATGTAATTTTTTCGACACTTTGAAAAAACACTTTGAAAAAAAGAAAAGGATGAGCAGTTCAACTGAGTCGCGCGATAAAATGGATTGATCGGAAATTTTAATATCAAGTTACCAAACCAGATCTTTCTATAAATATTTTCAAACACTTTTAAATTTTTTTTAGTTAATTTATTGATTAGATTTTCTCTAGGACTATTAAAAATATGGCTGAATCTGAAATTGATAATGACAATTCGTTATGTGATGTTAATGAAACAGAGGATATAACTATTGAAAAAAATCGATCAAAACTAGACTTAACAGAACCAGCACATTCTTTTTTAAGATATTATTCCTATGTTAGAGGTGAAAAAGTTGCAAAATGTCGTCTTTGCAAAAAATTAATCGGTAGAAAGGATGGAAGCACAACAGGAATGGAACGACATTTACGCACACACACGAAGTTTTTTACTGATTATGAATTGGTTTTTTACTGATTATGAAATACAATTTATCCCTCAATAAAAAAAATTGTAAAAAAATATTTATCCGCACCTCCATCTACTGTTGAATCAGAACGCACTTTTTCGCATCTTAGCAATATTTATAGTGCAAAAAGAAATCAATTGACACCCGAACATGGAAAACGACAGTTATTCCTTCACTTTAATTATGATTATTGATTTTGATAAATGTTTTTTGTTTTAATTATAAACCATTAACGCGTATCAATTAAATCGGCTACATATTTATATATTGATATAAACCTATGAACTTTAACTTCAGAAATGAAATTTGTCTCGGTCTCGACTCTCGGTCTCGATGCTCGACTCTCGGTTTGGTCTCGGTCTCGGGGTTGATTCTCGGTCTCGGTCTCGACTCTCGACTCTCGGGATTTTTTGACTCTCGAACATCACTACTACATTCTCAAGTTCTCTAAGATTTCTCGGATTCTCATTCCCCAGGTCCTCAATACTGCTGCCTCTCTCTTTGAAAAACCTTCGGGGCCGCTTTGGCCAAAAATTAAATGTTTATATTTTTCTATAGTAGGAGTTACAACATTCGCTTTAACATTAATATTCTCAATATTTGTTGATTTAATCGACAAACAATTTGCTAAAATTAAAAGCTTTTTTAATTTGACATTAATTATTGGAATTTTATATATTTTGTGTTTGTTTCAATTAAGGGATAGAAGTTATTCTGAACAAATTCAAGTTGAAAATTTTTTGAAATTTTTTTTATTGATTTTTTAGAAGGTTAAACTGAAATTGAATATAAATATGACGAGGAAAATTATTGACCAAATTGTTAAGGTAATCATCTCATATTAATGCAACTAAAGTCCGGAATATTTTACAATACCGTATTCCGTACCGTATATCTGTTATATCCGAGTCTCGTCCATAAGAATAACAGTTTATCCAAGTAGGAATATACACTGTTTGTGGGTACGGGCTGGGCTGGAACAGACGAAGGAGATCAGCTACTAGCCGTGCTAGTATATTATGTAGTTAGACTGACTCTTACATAGGCTTTTATACCATTGTTACACCACAACATTACACTATCGATACGGATTACCGCTCGGACTCTGATTATAACCTTAGTAGTTATTGGGTTATATTCCCTGTGATCTCAGTTATATTCCCTATGATCAACGGTTATACCACCATAAACTGCTTGCTAATCTAACTTGGGGTGATCATAAAACGGAGGTCAACAGAGAATCAACAGACAAGAATCAACAGATATATAGGCACCTATATATCTGTTGATTCTTGCGAAATGCTGGAAATATCCATTCCTCCAATATTAATCAAAGTAAAATTTAATTTAGTCACCTGAACTATCAAAAAATTTAACTTTATACGAAACAATAGTAATTAACGAAAAAATGCTGGCCGCAACATATTACGATCTCAGTAACAGAACAACTCCTAACGAAGTAGTAAACGACAAATGGAAGGATAGAATGGACAAAATTACAAATTTGCTTTATTTTAAAGCAACTAGGGATACTATGTTAAAAGGGTTGGGCAAAAATTCGACATGGCTGCTTATTGGAAATAGCCATGCAATGACACTTACAAGACACATAGAAAGAGCATTTATTAACGATTATTCGGAGTTTTACAAGTTTTATACGACGGGTTAGTGGCGAAGTAGCCTGGATAGCCCCCGAAGTAGCCTGGATATCTGGATTAGAGTTGGGCGGAATCGGTATCCCGATATAAATTCGGGATCGGGATTTTGGAACAATGATCTTGATCCCGACTGTGGGAGCAGGATTGACAGAAGTTGGGATCGGGATTCGGAATAATGATCCCGATTCCGATCGTGATCCCGATCCCCCGCCCAAAACGGATCAGAGATGGGGGAAAATAAAATTTTGCTCCCAACAGAATCGAAAAAAAAATCCAAATCTTCTGATATCCTCGATTTAAGATTAAGAAATTTGGTGGGATTAAGGTGTATTGTCTGGATCTTGAGGGATATATTACATATTAAGAGGATTAGTTAAAGATATTTAGGGTTAAAAAATTTAGAGATGGCGTATCGATTTTGTGAGATAAGGGTTTGAGCGATATTGATATCGTGGATATCAGGGGATTAAGAGGATTAAGTGGATTTACTATTCGAATTTTCGGTTCAGGTACTGGATCCGGATTCTCCTAAGATCCGCCAACTCTAATATAACAACAAAACAGTCGGACAGTAAGACTATATTATCTTACTGTAGGTCTCTTGGTCCCTTCCTGTCCGATTCACCTGTCCGATTTAACTGGACTCCATCATATTATCGGCATTTATGGTCCAATATCCCTAGCGGAATGTAAAACAATTTTAATAATTCTCTTAGGATGTATGCCATTCTATGTACCTGATGATCTTGCATATATGGATCCTGGTAATCAAATGCCGTATGTATTTTGCACTTCATACGCACGTGAAGCCAAGGAGATGATTGAAAATGTTAAGCCCGATTATTTATTTATTAGTTTTAGGTAAGAAACTTACCTATTTATTTTTTATTCCCCCTCCCTCAGAGAGAAGCTGTTTTACTAAAAAGATTACCAAGATTTCCCACGTGTTGGATATCAATGTTCTCCTACCATTGGACACTAGAGCATCGGATTAGGCCTGGACCAAAGTCTGGGTTTTTCCTGTATCCAGAGTCTAGGCCCGGGAATTTTTTGACCTTCCTGGATTTCTCCTGGGCTTGGGCTTTTACTGAACTATAGGCCCAGCATCCGGCCCAGGTCAATAAATCAAACCGGAACCTCTCTCTATTAGACATCTTAATTCTTCTCTCCATTGAGTTCTTTCCCTCTCTTGAGGAAACCTTGAGAGGAAACATAAACTTCAAGGAAGAACGTAATCAGGTCCCCTTAAATGCCGGTGTAATTAAAAATGTAGTGAGAAAATATCAAGAATTATAGATATTTAAGTCTTCACTCAAAAAATCTTTCAATATTTCACAAATTATAGATGGTATAGCACATTCAAAGAGCAACCTTTCAATGAAAATTCAATAGAAAATGATCGGATACTTGGCATAATTAATTCATTCCTTAAAGATATTGAACCTTATATTAAAAAGAAAATCTTCTTCCCTGCACCACATTTACATTTAAATCATCAAATAGCGCCAGATCTTGCTAGACTTTTATGGAGAGCAACAACAGATTTGGAGACACTGCATTTTTCTTATAAGGCAATAATTTTTAGTTTAAATCAAGCTGGGATCGGATTCGGTCCAGAGATTTCAAGGATCCTCCTGCGTGTCCCTTTAAGATAACATTATTACTATAAGATACATTTAAGAATCGCTAGGACACCAAGCGATGTCCTACCTGTTTGTAAAGAGAATGTACATTTTTCCTTCCTTTTCTTGCATTTTTTTTCTTCAAGGAGTGGCGCCCATTTTTCCCTTATGTGAGGTATGCCTTTTGGCACCTATTTATTAGTAATTAATTTACTTTAATTATTTTTCCTCCTTCCTTCCACGTGCCAAAAGACATACCTCACATACCGTATTTGCTGAAATAATGTCCCTCTCTCAAGTAATTACTCCCTCCCTTTTAATTACTCCCTCCAGCGAGAGATCGAAACAATAATTACCCTCTCTCAAATAATTACCCTCTCTAATAATCGCTATTAAAATTCTAAAATATCGAATTTTCCAAAAAAATGTTGGTCTAATTGCCAATTTCCCCTATCACCCATCTCAAACTCAACAATCCCAATCTCAATTTCTGACCTATGAAAATTAGAATGACAGTCTCCAATTGAATGACATCTCTAATTGAATGACACTTTTTTGGGGTATATGAAAAATAGAATGACTGTCATTCAATTAGAGCAAATACGGTATTTGACCTTTCCAGGAACATCTAAAAATTAATCATTGGCCCTATCAACGTGTCAAGCATTTAAATTGTTCCAAATGCATCATTTACGACTTTTCTTCATTTCTATGCAAGGATACAAACGATAAATGTTCTACTTTTAACGAAAAAACTAAATTAGCGTATTTTTATGATCACAACCATTTTAATTATTATGGAGGTCAAATAGTTATGCCCTATTTACGCTCAATATATTTTCAAAAGAAAGATTAAATTGAATTTTGATATAATTTTTTTCTGTATTTGATTATTACAGAGCAAGTAAAGAGCCGTCCCGATTTCCCGAAATCGCAAATTTTATTTTTGTCGGCTAGTTCCCTGCTATAGAAGCATGCCAGTAATCTCACCTTTCGCCGATTTTTGCTTTTCGCTTTCTAAATTACCTTTAGCCTTTTCGTCTTACACTTTTACATACAAGTGACCAGGGCTGTGCGTCATGGCGTTTTGCGTTTTGGCTCTATTACACGATATACGTCCAATCAACTTTTATACGTCCAATCAAAGTTTATACGTCCAATGAAAATTTATGCGTCCAATTAAAAGTTTATGCGTCCAATGAAAATTTATGCGTCCAATGAAAAGTTTATGCGTCCAATTAAAAGTTTATGCGTCCAATCAAATTTGTACTCCGAACACATCGGAAACAATCGTAGTACCTGCGGCTACATTACATATTTGCTATAATTGGGAGAAGTGTATATATAAGCTGGTCTACCACCAACATGGAAGAAACAGACTTTATTAGTTCCTCGCTCGACCATACCGAACACCCCTCTAGTAAATTTACACTTGAATCTGTTCCTCGCATACTTTGCCTCGTATACTTTCTATTACTCGAAAGAATTTTTAACAACTCTACTTTAATTTCCAAAAAAATTTTAAATTGTATTCTAAATTATTTTTGATCATTCTATACTCTCTGTTTATTTTATTTTGTAAAGGAAGAGAATAAACAATAAAAGCAAATAATTTTCTTGAATATGCTTTAAATAAATGTAAAAATAGGGAAATTGATATTTATTCGAGAGTGTTTTTTTTGTTTTTTAATCTAGCAATTTATTTTTCCTTTAACAAAAAACTCAACTCTTTTATGTGCAATTTACGCATTCTTATAATCTGTACGTAGACTAAAAGTACACAAAACTGTATATTTCGACTATGTTGTGTATGGGCGTCAGCCCTTAAAGAGTATAGGGAACTTATTTAGTTTAACTACCCACCCCAAAATTTTGCCGAGGGATTTTTCATTTAGATTTGGACAATATATACGTCAATCGAAAGAGCTCGACGAGCTGAAGCGAATGGTAACAAAATCAGCCTGATTTGATGATTTTAAACAAAATTACGAGCAACTGAATTTTAGCTGGAATGACTCAATACATTATTTATACTCAATACATTATTAATACTCAATACATTATTAATACTCAATACATTATTAATACATTATGACTCAATACATTATGACTCAATACATCAATACATTACTCAATACATACATTACTCAATACAATTATCTAAATTATTTGAAAATAATGTTGATAGAATTAAATGTGTTGTTAGTGTTTCTGCCTGTTTTCTATGCTCTTTTGTATTGAGCCCATTTGAGCCCATTGGAATGACTCAATTTGAGCCCATTTGTTTCAGTTTAGACTTGTGACTGTGAGCTGCTTTTGGTGTCATTCGATTCAGCTCGTCGAGCTCTTTCGAATGATATATGAATTGTCCGTATACAAAATAGATCCTGCAAAATTTTGGAGTGGGTAGTTAAAGTAAATAAGTTCCGAGTATAGTATAAAAGCCAGTGAAAGCGTCAGTCTATTCGGATCATTCTAGCGGGGCTAGTCAATGATCTCCTTCGTCTGTCCCATCGCCTTCGCCCACACATTGTTTATTTCTACATCAGATAAACTGTTATTATTGTGCTCGTCGATATTAGTTAAATCTCGGCCACCTCGGGTCGTAACAGACTGCACTTATAAATTATAAAATTGAACACTTATAAAGCGCCACGACTACTTGGAACAGATTAAAGTTAAGTAGGTATATGTATGTCGGCGTCAAACTTTAATTTCAGGGAGATTTTAAAGCACGCATTAGTGATGTTCGAGACTTGGTCTCGGTTCCCGTGTCGAGATTTCCCGGGTTTTTCTGAACTCTTGGTCCCGGGCTTGATTCTCGGTCTCGATTCTCGGTCCTTTTTTAACTCCCGACCATCACTAATACATATACCAATTATTTATTTTATTAAGCGTTGACATAAATGGATAATTTTAACATTTATAATTGCTTCGTAAAAATTTAAAGTAATAATTTTTATTTAATTGTCGTTGATATAAAAAAATTTTTATACATTTACATATTTAATACGCTTTTTGATGAGCTTAAGTAACAAAGATTTGGACTCAAAAAATTTATTTCATCATCTTTTAGTAGAAAATTTCGTTATTAATTACAAAAAAATCCTTTATTAAATACCCAAAAATTTTAAACTCCCAATTGAATATGCACCCTATATTTATTTAAATCTGAGGTGGGTCGGAACAGTCAGAGGTGTCGGAAATCGGAAGAGCTGGAAATCGGAACTGGCTCAAAAGTCGGAACTCGGAAATCAAAAAATTTTTTCGGAAATCGGGATTCCGACCTACCTCTGATATAAATAAACTTGATTTTTATATATAGAAATTCCAGCCTCAGGAGTGTACGTAAATGGACCTTATTTAAAAGGTAGGGTCAGAAAAAAATT